GTATCATCAGCGCGTGCACATAAATATTTATTATAGTTTAATTTATGCTATCGTAGGGTACGATTACTAGCCGATTACTTGAAATTTGAATTTGAATAGAATTCCCCTGACAATTCCCGTACACGACGATACAACCGCGATTTTGGGGTTATGGAATCTCACACGTGGACAATTGCCTTGATTTTGCATTGTCCTTCTGTTTTGCTAGACCTGATGGACCTACATTCCAGTATCGGCGTCATATTAGAAGACAGAGCAAACCGTGCATCTATTATGCAAATTCAGTTTCTACATTCCACCCTTTGTTGGTTGGAGACCTGGTATTTAAACTTAATCCAGCCCAACGCGAGTGTCTACTGCAGTAGGACGTTACAGAAGAGCAAAGCCATCGTCGCTTAACACTAACAATCTTATAAGGATCAATTGTTCTAACGATGTGCAAATTAGAAGGAATTGTAAACAGTCTTTGTTGTTATGTTCTTTGAATACCCGCTTGGTACGAAACAAAACCGCTGATTATTTTTGACTACGTTTGTGACTGTATTAAGGCGGATTTGTTGACATTCACGGAGACTTGGTTGAGTGATAATGATGCGGCTGTTAAAGCTGAGCTTTGTTCCCCTGGCTATAAGTTGTTGGATCACAATAGGAACGGTCGGCGTGGAGGTGGAACTGGATTGATGTTTCGGGATTCATTTCGAGTGAAGAAAATTGATGCTGGGGAGAAAGTGTCTTTTGAGTTTTCGGAGTGGATTATTACATTATCATCATAGGACAAACTTAGGGTGGTTATAGTTTATCGTCCTCCGTACTCTGAAGAGCATCCAGTGACAACTAGTACATTTTGCACGGAATTTGCAACTTACATAGAGTCAATTGTTTTGTCCAAGGAAAGTCTTATAATAACTGGTGATATAAATATTCATGTGGATGATAGAGGTGATGCTGATGCGTGCAAGTTCCTGGATATTCTGGAATGCTTGGGATTACAACATGTCACTAAACCAACCCATGTCCGCGGTCATATCCTGGATCTTATCATTACACGTCGTGCTGAGAACATTATTTTAGATACACCACAGGTAGATCGCTGTCTGTCTGACCATGCAGCAGTTTTATGTAAACTCGTGACACCCAAGCCTCCGATTACCACAAAGAAGGTGAAGTTCAGGAAGATGAAATCGGTTGATATTTTTGCGCTTGTGCATGACATAGCTGAAACACCTCTTTGCAAGGACATTGGTACTGGATCTGAGACGGATACTCCCTTCAGTCCTAGTGATTTAGATACGTTGGTGGGTGACTATGACTCGACCTTGTCACATATCATTGATGTGCACGCTCCGCTGAGAACAAAGACTATCATTGCTAGACCTACTATACTGTGGTACAATGAGGAGATTCACAAGGCTAAACGCATGCGCAGAAAGGCGGAAAGGCAATGGAGGAAGACTAAGAGGGATACTGACTTTCAGTTGTTCAAAAGAAGACGAAATCACGTGACGTTTCTTCTCAATGAAGCGAAACGGAAATTCTTTACAGACTTTGTGGAAGAAAACAGCAGTGATCAAGGGAAGCAGCTTTGAAATGGTTTGCTTCCTATTTAACGGATCGGTTCCAGCGCATCTCTCTCGATGGAAATTGTTCTGACGCAATCCAACTAGAGCAAGGTGTTCCACAAGGGTCCTGTCTAGGTCCTATGCTGTTTACTTTATATGCCAGTAAATTGTTCGAGGTGGTCAAGAGACATCTGCCTAGTGTGCACGCCTATGCAGACGACACGCAATTATATCTTGCGTTCAAGCCTGACAGTGCCTTGAATACTGATGAAGCCGTCGCTGCTATGGAGCTCTGTGTGCGGGAAATAAGAACGTGGATGCTAAGTGATAAACTCAAGATCAATGATAGCAAGACCGAGTTTACCATAATTGGTACACGCCAGCAGCTGGCCAAGGTTCACATAGATTACCTCAAAGTTGGAGAGGCTCGTGTGCATTCTGTGAGCTCAGTAAAGAATCTTGGAACTTGGTTTGACCGCAACTTAAGTCTTCAGGAGCATATAAATAAAACTTGTAAAGTAGCTTACTTTCATCTTACAAATGTTAGGCGCATAAGGAAATATTTGAGTAATGAAGTGACACAAACACTTGTTCATGCATTAATTATAGGGCGCATAGATTATTGTAACGGTATTCTACGTGGACTTCCAGCAATAAACATTGCGAAATTACAAAGAGTCCAAAATTCAGCAGCTAGGCTTATATATAGTATACCTAGATACTCTCATGTTACACCAGTTTTAAACTTTTTGCATTGGTTACCGGTTAAATTTAGGATAGATTTTAAAGTTATCTTATTTACTTTCAAAGCAATTTATGGGCTTGCCCCAAGATATATATGTGAACTGGTTAGCATTAAGGATAACAATTCTTATAATCTTAGATCTTCTAAAGGTTTGCATTTGCAGCCGCCAAGCTTTTTGACCAAAAAGACACTAGGAGACCGTGCTTTTTCGGCGGCTGCTCCGAAGTTATGGAACAATTTACCTCAAGAGATACGTAACGAGAGACATTTTAATAGATTCAAGACGTTGTTAAAGACCCACCTTTTTAGACTAGGCCTTTAATTAGATTTCCTTTTACTTAATATTTACAAATTAGTTTCCCATTTGTTTTAACGTGTTGGGCCCGGTTTGGACGTGGAATTTCGCGCGTGTCGGGTCTAGTGCAGATGGACAAACTAATGTTTGGTTTGTCTGCATTGGATTCGRCGCGTGCGGGWTTCGACGTCTAAACTGGACCTTAGTTATTAAATCTTTTATATACTCTTTTTGTAGTCTTTTAGAGATTTTATGCCTAGTATTTTAGTGTACCTATATGTAATGCGCAGTTGATCATATTAACATGTTAAATTGCGCAACACAAATAATAAACTATTATTATTATTATTATTATTATTATTATTATTATTATTATTATTATTCATTACCAACAGCCTTCTGTTGGTCCACAGGTAGCTCAAGCTTGGTTTCTGTGGTGCAATGTTATAAGGAAATGTATGGGGATTCATCAAAAATTTCAATAAAATCATTGAAACGTGAAATAAAGCCCCGAAATTTTACCTAATCGTTGATAAAGAACACTTCTTTCGCTCTGTGTGGTTATTTTTTGTATTTAGCCCGTTTTAAGGATTTTTTCCCCCCACCAGTAAGAAATAAGAGGTTGGAGACTCGGAATCCCAAAAGCGAACCACCGCGAGTCTTTGAAGACTTGGACGTCTTCGAATTTTCTTTCCAGCGCCAAATTTTAGTCATAACCCTTCTCTCACATCTCTATAGAACCGAGTTAAAATGGGCTAAATTCCAAAAAATAACCACACAGAGCGAAAGAAGTGTCAGATATAGTGCTAATGAGATAGTATGTCATCCTGGTAAGGTAACTATTCAATGTGGGATAGAGGAATAGACCAGTTTCGAATTCCAAGTTACCGCTGTGTTCCTTGATTACGGACTCATTTGCACAGGGTTAGCCTCGTATCAGTGTTTGAATATTCACAAATACCAACGGTAAAGTAAAGAATGCACAACTTCAACAATACAAACACTTGGAAGCTCGACGGACCTTGACTGCAACAAGTGAATATTCTGCACAAACACGAGGCTAACCCTGTGCAAATGAGTCTGTAATCAAGGAACACAGCAGTAACTTGGAATTCGAAACTGGTCTATTGGTATATGCGTTTGATTCAACATACACACTAGATCAATAGCGTTTGCGTTTTTTTATTTATTAATAATTCACACAGAAGAAATGATTGTAATATATACTTTTGTCTTATTTAGTGTAAACAGACATTTTATTGCGCATGCATATTAACCTTGATAGTGATTTTGACATTGTTTAAAGTTGCTCCTTGCAAAACTCCTCCCAAATTAACTCCTGTGCTCAATTTCTCTGTCTTCTCTTCATACTCTTCACATGCTGAGACAAGCAGTACATTATCTTCATTTTGGCTTGGGCTTGGTTCTTTTCTCCGCTTCCTTTACTATCTAATTGTCCCTCATGTTTCATTAATGAGGGATGATTAGAACTAATTGTCCCTCATGTTTCATTAATGAGAGATGATTAGAACTAATCGTCCCTCATGTTTCATTAATGAGGGATGATTAGAACTAATTGTCCCTCATGTTTCATTAATGAGGGATGATTAGAACTACTTGTCCCTCATGTTTCATTGATGAGGGATGATTAGAACTAATTGTCCCTCATGTTTCATTAATGAGAGATGATTAGAACTAATTGTCCTTCATGTTTCATTGATGAGGGATTATTAGAACTAATTGTCCCTCATGTTTCATTAATGAGAGATGATTAGAACTAACTGTCCCTCATGTTTCATTGATGAGGGATTATTAGAACTAATTGTCCCTCATGTTTCATTAATGAGAGATGATTAGAACTAATCGTCCCCCATGTTTCATTAATGAGGGATGATTAGAACTAATCGTTCCTCATGTTTCATTGATGAGGGATGATTAGAACTAATGTACCATTGACTTCATTGATGAGGGATGATTAGAACTAATGTACCATACTAATAGCATTCAAGGTTTACAGTCCTGTCTACAAACTTCGTTTATTTCCTCGGAGATCATGATATTACAAACTAATATCATGGCATCTTCGGGATATTAGTATAGGAAATCGCACGATCTCGAGTACAATTTGGAAATGAGTGCAATTAAAGAACTTTCAAAACATTACGAGTGTCTATTAATTCCAAATTGTACGAGAAGATCGTGCGATTTTTTGTTTATAGTTCACTCAACAAAATTTCAGTAAAAAATGCGAAGCGACGCCGTTCATCTTTGTCTATTTGGCGGCCGATTTTCAGTCCATCGCGCAACTGAAATGCATAAAAAAGATTAGTTCTTACGGCTTTAAAAATTTATTCATATGGTTTTTTTAAGCACAAAATGATAGAAGAAAAAAATTGTTTTGACATTGTTTTGGCCGCGTTGCCATAGCGACTTAATTCGGTACTCCTACGGAGTACAATTAACGCTATGATTGTACTCCTCTCGACCAATCAGAGTCGAGTAATTTTGTTGAGTGTACTATGTACTATATAAGGGATTAAATGTGCCAGAATAACGAGGGGAAATTTGTAAAAGTCCTGAGAAAATAATTCTTTTAGTTGTATTCATGACTTCTCATGCACAACCGTCAAACAAAGAAATGATACTCTAGGGAATGACAAGTGCTCTGAAATGGGGAAAAAATTAAGACCAAGCCGAAAAGGTCTGTTACGTTATTATTCTCAGTACACATCATGGCCATTTTCTCCTGAATAAACTTCAATTACTTGTGCTTATTTTCCTTACATGTCTTTAGTGAACAATTTTTTAGAAGTTCTATATATATTAATATGATATCTTTTTGTTTAAGAAAGCTTGCAATCCAACTTTTTCTCGCTTCTTCCTTGCTCAGCCTGAAAATAGAAGGAAACCATAAATAATAGGAAAGAAGTGCGTGTATCTGTAAACAAAATATTCACATCTTCCTCTAACCCGAAATAATACATACATAGAACACAAGGTTGGAATACATGAAGTCTCTATCGTTTTTTTACTAATTTCTTTTTCTTTTTCTAGACTTTGTTTTCGGATTCACTCCGGCAACAAATTCTCAACAAACACAACAATTTCTACATACCAGTTGTCGTTCTGATTCTTCTTTTTCAGACTGGACAAGTGCCTGTGCCAGTGCTAAATCTTCCTCTTCCTGAGCTGTTAAGGTTCTGGGAGCCTCTTTCGTAGTATGGTTTGAGCCAGTTTCGACGTTAAGTGATGCTTGGATAGCAAAAGCCAAAGCTTCATCTTCATTCTTTATCAGAAATAACATAAAAGTATACTTAATATATAAATTTAGGCACTGCATAAAAGTGGAGCTCCCTTTGTTGTGTCTTACACATAGTTCAAAAATAGTGTTAAGGTGTTTCGAAATAGTTTTTTTTGGTCACTAACCAATAATGAATAAACAGCTACATTTAGGTCATACGATTTAAAAGTAAGCTGGTATATCTATAATTATAACTTCATTCAAGGACAACATCTATATAGTAGAGATGGATCAGAAAACATCCAAATGAAGTCCATTTTGTTCAACAAGGATACCATTTATCGTAGTCACTGTCCACAAAAGCGTCAATAAGGCTAATAAAATAGCTTTACTTTCCCCTTAAATGTACTTACGAGCGTAGATGGCTGTAACAACGTACTTGTTCCTTGCTGAGTAGGTCTTACCTTTCTCTCCCTGAAAAATGCATCGATAATAAATTTCTTTTCACCGCGGTTGTGTGCGGATACCAATATTTGATAGCATTAATAATCAACTTGCGTATTCAGACCCCTTACAATAACTCGTTTATGGATGGATATAAATAAACTGATATGTATAGGAAATCGCACGATCTCGAGTACAATTTGGAAATTAATAGACACGAGTAATGTTTTGAAAGTTCTTGTAATTGCACGAGCCTTTAGGCGAGT